ACATGGGTCTGAACTGCATGGATCTATTAATATGTGGGTTTTTTACAGTACAGTACTGTAAATGTATCTTCTCTTATGATAACGTTTCCTTTTTTCTTTTTTAGCTTACTTTGTTGTAAGAGTACAGTTTATAGTATATGTAACATGTAAAATATATGTTAATTTCCACGCTCAGTGTGGAGATTGACGCGGGGCTTGATCTCATGATCCTGAGATCGTGACCCGTTCCTTTAATTTTCTGTATGTTTTAGATTTAGCTTGCCATTTTCTACCAAAATTTCTACTGGGATTTTGAATGTATAGAATTTTTGCATCGGTTTAGGGAGGATAACATCCTGAAAACACCAGGCCTTTCAATCTATGAACATGGTACACGTATCCATTTAGTTGGTCATGTTGGATTTTTGTCATCAGCGTTTTGTAGTTTCCAGCGTATAGACCTTCCCTATATTTTCTTAGGTTTATACTTAAGTATTTGCTGTTTTTTAATGCTATTATACGTGATACTGTCTTTTTTTTTCTTTTTTATTGATGAAGACATTTTTTAATTGAGGTATGATCAACATACAACAATATATTAGTTTCAGACATATAACATAGTGTTTCAGGATTTGTATATGTTGCAAAATGATCACCACAGTGAGTCTAGTTAACACCTAATACCATACATAGTTTTGTTTTTTCCTTGCTGAGAGCTTTCACATGGTACTATCTTTGAATTTCACTTTCCAGAGTTGTTCATTGCTAGAAATGTGATCTTTTTATATTGACCCTGTATCCTCCAATCTTGCTAATAAGCTCACTAGTTTGTTTGGTTTTTTAAAGATTTTATTTATTTATTTAGGGAGTGCGTGCATGCATGCACACAAGTGAAGGGGAGGGGCAGAGGGAAAGGGAGAGCGAGAATCTCAAGTGGACTCTGCTGAGCACCGAGCTCCAAGCAGGGCTTGATCTCACGACCCTGAGATCATGACCTGAGCTGAAATTAAGAATGGAATGCTTAACTGACTGAACCACCCAGGCGCCCCTTACTTACTAGTTTTAGTAGCATTTGGGATTTTCTTTGTAAATCATGTAAGAAGAGAGTTTTATTTCTTCCTTTTCAACCTGTTTGCCTTTTAGTTCTTATTCTGAGAGCCCCAGTAGGAGGTTGAATAGGAGTGTTGTCTACATAATAAAATATTTTTGCTCTTTATGAAGTTTTTTTTCTGCTTATATGTTACTATTATTATAATGGCTTGCTAGCTCCATGCATTGCTTGTTTTTTTAAATAAGTTTTAAAGATTGATACTTGTACAAAAACTTTGTTTTTCTTCATGACCAAAGTAATATGTTCCCTGCAAGTACTATAAAGTATACAGAAAATCAGTTGGAATCTGCCATGTCAGAGATAATCACTGGCAAACATTTTGGTGGTTCCCTATGTTCTATGCATGTGAGGGTATCTTTTTTGATTAATTTGTTCTATATATATGTAATTAAATGTCAGAACTTTTAAGTCTATCCCTGGCCTCAAAGTAATAGCCAATGCAAACTGCACAGGCCATGAAGGGGCCCCTTCTCATGAAGGGGAGGTGTCTTGTCCCCTGAATCCTGAACGTCATGTGTTCTCCTAACAGGCTTCTGCAGCAGATGCATTAAAGACCAGTGGGAAGATGCCAGAAGGGGGAAGGAAACTCCAGCTGCTCCAGAAGAGCAAAGGTGTGTAAAGATGGAGGGAGGTTGTGAAACAGCTCTGAAGCTCAACAAGTGATGAACATGGTGGTGAATTTTGTTTTCAAGTATGCTAAGGTGAAACTCCCTCTTTCTTTCTAGGAAGTGTCAGAAGAAGGAGCTAGTTAAAGAATGTCCGTGTAAGGACAGATCTGAGGCATGTGGGGAGCTTAAGGGGAATGGCAGGGCAAGAGGGCAGGTTACTTCCTGAGCAGCCATCATGGCGCTTCCTTGATCGTGTGTCCCATTTCCTGGGTGGAACTCTTGAGAGCAGGACTCAGCGTGTGAGGCCTCATCTTCTTGCCTCTCACCACCTTGGGTTAGATCTTCCTCGTAATGGTTTCCCCTTAATCGTTCTAGAAGCTGTCACCAAAGTGCTATGCAAAACTTGGGAGTTTTTCTGATTGTAGACATACGTGTTTGTTGTAAAACGAAAAACAGCAACAAAAAACAGAAAATGTAGATAAGGAGGGTGGACACTCACTCATGAGCTGCCACTTCGATCATTACTGTGTATTTGGTGTTCAGTTGTAGTCAGTGTGCTCATCCTAGAAATCTGGGAAGGCCCCTCCTCAGAGTAGCACTCCATCCAGCTCCTCACATGCCCACTTCTCCAGCAACACTGGGTAGCTCTTTTGCATGAAAGCAGTTCACAAAAAGCAAAACTGTTTCTTGTCCCACACCTCCTTGTTCAAAATGGCAACAACTGTGAGTCTCATAGGAAAAATTAAGTACAGTGGACCCTTGAACAACATGGGTCTGAACTGCATGGATCTATTAATATGTGGGTTTTTTACAGTACAGTACTGTAAATGTATCTTCTCTTATGATAACGTTTCCTTTTTTTCTTTTTTAGCTTACTTTGTTGTAAGAGTACAGTTTATAGTATATGTAACATGTAAAATATATGTTAATTGACTTTATATTCTCAGTAGGGGCTCCAATCAGAGACTGTCAGTCGGGGGATTGGAAAGTTGTTGATCGTGGTTTAGATGTTTGCTCAGCACCTGTGCTGCTCCTTGACCTAGGCGTGACTGAGAAGCGGCTCATGGAGCTGGGGCTGACTTTGTAGTCTTTCCTCATGCAGTTGGGTTGGGGGCCACGCGGCAAGCCGGGAAAGCTGGCGTTCGGCCCAGAGGGGTCAGAAGTTGGGTCAGCCACATCTTTTTTTTTTTTTTTTT